TAAAAAAGAATGCGTCTTTGTGTGTTTTCGTTTCGTTATCCTGCTGTTCTTTTCCTAAGTTAAATCAGTCTACGAGTTTTGAGTTTGTGTCATTGTGTTCTTGTTCTTTCGACAATTTTCGGTGTCTCAAGACCAGTATTCGTCATCCTACATTAGTATTATTATATTACCTATATTTTGACGAATGATAAATTTGGCGAATCATTGAATATCGATATAGATTGATTTATTTATCGTATTATCGAATATGAGGATACGTAGAACATATAGAAATTTAATTTAATTGTTTTTAGATATTATAGAAACGGGAGGTGGGATTTTTCGAGGTCCACGATGTAAAGGAATAATTTTACGGATTAAATTGTTACGAAATCGCAGTTGCACAATGTGTAAATTCTATGCTATTACGTGGATGTTGTTAAGCTGCTTCACGGAGGAGCAATTTCGAAACATGTAATACGGCATTGACGGGAAAATTTCAAGGAAAAGCTGACGCGTTTCTGACCCATTTTTCATGCGACTTTCATCATTATATTAAATTCTCGAATTTTTTATCTCGAGATATTTGCTCCTTCCAAGGGAATCTATATAGAAGTCGAAGGTATTTAATCACGTGCTGCTAGTAAAATATTTGGTACAACATCGACGAGATAATTTGAGCGAAAAATGGATGCGATTTTGTGCCTTTTTCTCGAGATATTCAATTTCTTTTGAAGTTAAAGTCTGCGAAGAAATGGAGAATAGTTTCTTCCCTCTGATTTTTCGAAACACTTGGCAGCAATGAGAGTCGAAATTTGGAGAGCCACCGACGAAAGACTCGGAGCCTCGGGGGAAAGTTAAACACTGGCCTATATCGCGAAGTGTAACTTTCTTTGTGTCGAGTATCTCACGTTATGGAGAACTCTTTCAGTGAAATTACCGTCTAATGTAACTCCTTAGCAGCGATTTTTCTCTGTACCGGTATTCGTGCACGTTTCCCTCCCGCGCTTAGGTGGAAAAATAAAGCCGGCACAATAGGACGAGTCCGAGTGGAACGCGATATTTTCGTTTTGTTCCGATTTATTTCGAGCGCTGGATCCGCGGATCAAGAGAGGCCCTCGCCGATCCGAACAATCGAACGAAGCGTCGATATTCGTTATTCATAAGCAAATTTCGGCGCTTTGCAGCGTTATTCTTTCGGGACACGTTTATCATTCAACGTTGAAAGGACAAACAGCTTTGTTCCACGTTATTTTTTCGCCGCACGTGGACTCTTCGTTCATTGTAAACACCCGTGCACGGCGTGTTCGTCTTTTTTCGCAGATGGAATCTTTAGTCGGCGAATCTTTTCGAGTTACGTACCCGAAAAGACCAACTTTGTACGTTCGCCTTAAAATTGGCAAGCAGACTATAGAGAACCAAAAATCCAATCTAAAAATTTTCACAAAATTTACAAAAATTGGCAATCTTTTCATTAAAAATATTAAATAACCGATTTAATAATTAATTTAATTATTAATAGTATATAAGTAATCATTGGTCTTGGCTGATTTGTTTCTATCGAATTGAGGTACAGCGTGGAATATATATATGTTCGCCACACGTGGATTCTTTGTTCATTGTAAACACCCGTGCACGATGTGTTCATCTTTTTTCGCAGATGGAATTTTTAGCCGACGAATGCTTTCGAGTTACGTACACGAAAAGACGAACTCTGTACGTTCGCCTTAAAATTGGCAGCCAGATTAAAAATTTTCACAAAATTTACAAAAATTGGCAATCTTTTCACTAAAAATATTAAATAACCGATTTAATAATTAATTAAATTATTGCTAGTATAATCATTGGTCTTCGCTGATTTATTTCTATGGAATTGAGGTACAGCACGTATATATTTTTACGTCTAGTCCAAAGGAAAATAATCGACATATAATCGGCTTCTTTTAGCACTCGAGGGAGCATAATTCGTGAAAAAATTCAGCTCACTGACACCCATAATAGCGCCATTCCTGGACTGGTTACTGCCATCTCGTGGTCGTTTCGACGATTCCTCGTTGTTTCCGTAAGAAAATGCGCAAAAGAAGGATAACCTCGATGGTCGAAGGCAGCAGCGAGCGTGTCGCGCAAGAATCAGGAATGTTTTTCAGCTGGCCTCGAATTAGAGGTATTTATCTCGCTGGGGGGATTAAGCTTTCGACGAAGAAATTCACGGTGGACGCGATGTCGATCAGCGTGGGGCGTGAAGTTGACCGAAAGACCGTGCCGGAAGTGCCGTCTGGAGGATGGCTTTCCGCTCCACTGGTTTCCTGTTTCTTCCAGGTCTTCTTTTTCTCCTGCAATGGCGACACGTACGCCGCATCTCCCTTCGTCGGTAACTTCTTTCGCGGCCGATAATCGTGTATTTTCCACACACGTAGTCGCACGCGAATGTGGCTGTGCACGTGGCTGTAACGTGGACGGTGCTTACTACGATGTTGCTGCGAAATCGCTGAAGCCTCGGAATAGGAAACGCGATGTGGAAGGAATTCGTAATCGTCTGAGATGGGAGAAGGTGAATCGTGTGGCTATGAAATCGGATTTATACTCGATTTGACAAACGACGTCCTGTTTTCGCGAACGCTTACCCCGTTCCGCTTAATTGAATTTAAGCACACCACGCTGTGGCTGCTTGCTGCAGAATCGATGCCGCTTTTTTCCCTCGTTACCACGAGCCGTTGTTACCTGGTGCCAGTAACTGGGGCTAGAGAAAAAGCGCGAGGAGACCCGCGGGGTGTCAAGATTTTCACGGAACGCGTGGTTTTTCGAGACAGATAAAGATGGCCGGCCGTGTTCCGCCATGGAACGCGATTTCTGATTTCTCCATGCGGCTCGAATCGCGGCTGGTTAGGCTAATGGAATGTGCTTAACTTTTTTGCCAAATTCTCCGTATCGCGTGGTAGAGGATCATGATCGCACGGTGCCTTGGATAATGTAGCTAAATGAACGATATTAACTTTGCTTCTAATGCCGAGGTATCTGGTAGTTATCTAAAGTGCCGTTCGTTTTTCAGTATAGTAACGCAACGGAGTACAAAGTGAGTCGTTTAAGAGTCTCGCGTTAACTCTGGCAGAGGAAAGTAAATAGAAAT